ATATAAAAGAATATAATAATTTAATTTTTAGCCGAGTAATATTAAACAACGGATGCTGATAGCCTTTTCGTAAATACATAATAAAAAGGAACTGCAAATCGGCTCTAATTGTCCATTTCATTATATCGATATCATTTGATCTTAATCAAATAGTTTTTAAATTTATTTTATTTTCAATTATCAAGTTGTACTTTTTAAATGTTAAATGTATCGTTGTTATGCTCGTCCCATCAAGTATCCCGTGTTCCTTCGTCTCCCTAATCACTCAAAGCTATGACATTAAAGGACGATGGGAGACACCGTGTTAAGACGTTGCAACGTAATTTATAACAAGTGAATCTAAATCATGTATTTTTAATTGAAGTATATAACGTTGAAAAAAAAATGGACATAATCTTCGTACACATCAATGTATACGAGTCACATCGTAGATATATTAAACATATTCATATTATTAAACGAAATTACACTTACTACTGTTGGATCCGAAATTTCGCAGATAATCTTCACACTTCTTCCCTTTTTTCTTCACTTCTTTTCTTTTTCAGGTATGAGCACTCGATCTTCAGCTGAGCTGAGCTGAGCTGAGCTGAGCTGAGCTGAGCTGAGCTGAGCGAACCTCACAGACGGCCCATCGATAATTTTAAATGTCCTATTAAAGTCGGTTAAAGTCTCTCAAGCGCGATATGTGCGATATTTCAAAAGCATCGCGTCGAACTCGCAAACTTCGTTGCGGAATCTGAATCAGTATAAACTTGTTACGAATCGCGCGGTCAAGCTCGCGTCATGATGACGGCGGCAATCCCCGAGAGATTGGAAAGATTCTCGCTTAAGAACCCACGAAAACCGTGCGAGATTATCGATTCGCGACGTCTCTCTCTCTCTCTCTCTCTCTCTCTCTCTCTCTCTCTCTCTCTCTGAACGAGCTGCGCGAGAATGATCGCGCGAATTGATAAGGATCACCGGACAATGATCTTCGGCCGATCCACGATCAAGCCACTTTCCGTCCCGTCCGATCTCCGCTCCGGTCACTTTTTATCGTATGGAGAAAAACGTCAAGTTACGTACGCGCGCGAGACACGTGTGATCTGTAATTCGTAATTTTTGCCCGTCGCGATCGCGGGCCGCGTTCGCGGCTCAATCCTGAGAGGAGGAGGAGTGAAGCGGGGGTTGGAAAGCGCGAAGAGGTAGAGGAAGTCCTTCGTGCTCGTCGATGGTTATCGTTGTAGGGGTTCGCGCACTGGGCGGACGCGCTTGCTTGTCAATGTGAGCGCACGTGCGCAAAACGTCGAGCTACGACGACGATTGGTGAACGGGCGGAGCCGAGCCTCGCCAAGCTTCATCTGAGAATCTTCGCAGGGGTTGAACCGGCGCAACCCCGCCGACCAAGCCGCGAGGGGCTTCCGCTCGTCTCTCCCGCCCTACCCTCCGCACTTCCGGCGTCCAAGGATAAGCGACCCAGAGTGCGAAAGTCAACTCGCTGCCTCCCTCCGGCTAATCGCGAGGGACCGCGCCAGAACTGAACGGCGTTATCGAGCGAACCGCATGAGGAGTATAAAAGAAAGAAAAGGAAAGGGGAACAAGACGCGCGCGGGGGAGAGGGGAATGGGGGGGGGGATAGTGGTGGTGAAAATTTATTTTACCTTGAGGCCAAACTGCTTCCGATGTTCAATAGTGGCGTGTATAGGAGGAGACGAGGAGAGAGGATACAAGGATATGCAAAGATTTGTATTCACGGGTAGGTGTGTGCTTGTTTTATATTTAACGCATAGACAAAGAGTTGAGATTCTTTATATGAGAGCCTTAATAATAAAAAGAAAAATTAACAACAATAATAAATTTCTTAGAATAGATTGGCACTGAGACTATGAGGGCTTTTTACTAAGAATGAAAGTGCGAAAGAATGGAAGAAAACATCGAGCTATCGGTGATTGGATTTATAAGAGAGACAGTGAAAGTTAACATTTTTGCCAATAGAGGACAATCACTCTTGAAGAATCTGCAAGTGGAAGGAACGTGAGGAAGTGAAGATGTCCTGTGACATCGGTTTTTATTAATAATGCTCACTGATAAAGTACGTTTGACGTCGGCCGGTCTTACTGTACTCTAATCGCGCCGCATAATTTTCCGAGTGATTTCAAACGCAGATCGACTTCGGGGAAGATTGATCCTTTCGCACGAAGATCTGACAGACCTCGTTGGAATATATTCCCGTTACCGTTACCGTGAGCTGGAAGTGACTGTAACATCTGGCCGTTTCTCACGGCGCTGCGACATTACGGTTACGCAAGACAAGCGTAATAGCATATCGTATTCTCTGAATATTTCATTTATTATTTCCCTGAAAATCAATGATTGCCATCTCTCTCTCTCTCTCTCTCTCTCTCTCTCTCTCTCTCTCTCGAGAGAGAGAGAGAGAGAGAGAGAGAGAGAGAGAGAGAGAGAGAGTTCGTGTACGCGATCAAAGTGATTTTATTATCTATTAATAGGCGAAATACAGACCTCGAGATTGCTCGAAGTAATTCGACTCATAGGATATTCCATTATAAAAATATACCATATCAATTCGTATTATTAATATCGTAATATTCAAAGTTGTTTGCATGTGAATCCGTTGTTAATTAGTAACGATAATAAAATACTTGATAAATTTAATAAGCAATAAATTACTCAGAGGGAACTTACTCATCTGACATTACAGGGAAATAGAGAGAAATAGAAACGAGCGTAAAAAACTATAAGTACGCTTTATTTTCCTCCGTCGACTGTAACGTTGATGCACCTTGTGGAAAACGACGATTACCACTTAGACGGAAATTAAAGATCGAGTTAACGTGAAAGGAAGCGACGAGTGCTCAGGTCCCCGCTCGTTTCAACATATCGGCTGACCGCGGAGTGGAGAATGGTGGGCTCTGCCTGCCTGCCTGCCTGCCTGCCCGCCCGCCTGCGTTTGATAGCTCGGAAGATTCGCGAATCCTCGAGTGCCTCCTCGACGCGGCGGCGGGAGCAGAAAATCGCGTTGAAGTGGTAACGGTCGGGCTAATGGCTCGGAGACGATATTTTGTTAAACAAGGAAACCTTTTATCGCCTCCTGCACCGTCCCTCGCGGGAAGAAGTTCAACGCCAGGGAGCAGGGACGCCGTTTCCTCGATCAGTAATGCTACCAATACTTTTGCACTCGTACGAACGTCGGAGAGTCCTCGGTATTCCTTAGGTAAGCGAGACTCAGCAAAAACATGCTGATTTTCAGACGATGTGTAAACGGTCTTTAGATTGTTATTTTCAGGCGTTTATCTGATTCAAGATGTAACCCGCAAAAATATAATCTCAAGAAAGAAACAACATCTCCAAGTTTTCCGCGTCAAATTTAAAGTAATGCGTTTATTCGGTTTCTTGTAGTGCTACAATGTATCATTGAAATTTCTATATATACATTATCTTTCATATTCTTGCATTGCTCACGCTTTCAAAATCGTTCAAATTTTAATTCGCTCTTTTAGTTTCGCGATATTGAAATATCGAGTTTGATACGGCGGACAGACGAGTTCGCTCGATTGATTCGGCTCCGGTTCCGACTGAAAGCGGCCCTGCTCCGTTACTCCGGTTGTCTTGTCACCAGAAAAGAACGAACGAGCCCGAAGTGTGAACCGCCGACCGCCATGACAAGCTGTCACCTGCGCGTTTCTCACGCTTCGCCCACGCATATCTCGCCATTCTCGCGGATTCCTTCGACCCGCCCTATCTCTCGCTCGAATCTTTTCACACTTTCGTCCCCTTCGCCGAGAGTCGGTAAGTGTAACGTCGATGGAGCAGCAGTTCGATTGAGTGTCTGGCGGTTTTCTCGCCGACAAGCTTATCTCTCTACTTAATTTCTACAAACTGAATCAATATCTTAAAAAATCCTCCAGCTGTTTCTTGAAACGAAATGTCATGGATATCATAAATTAAATTTAAAATAGATAGAGTATAGTGCTTTTTGATGAAAGAATATTATCGGATAACTGCAACATATTATATATATATATATATATATATATATATGTTGTTCTTTTTAAAAAGACATTCATCGGTGATATCAGTGCTTTAATTTTCGTATCATATATTAATTTCAAAAGACGCATTTGTACATAGAATTAAACGCAGCGTACCAAAACAATTAAAAAATAAATAAAATGTTGGATGAACAAAAATGTGGCTCCGGCCGGGATCGAACTGGCGACCTTCTGCGTGTAAAGCAGACGTGATAACCGCTACACCACGGAACCTAACCGTTGAATCTCTTCTAACAACAGGTATAACTGTATGCCATAGTTGTTGTTTTAATAATAAAAATAATGCAGGTAATTAACATTTTATAACAATAATAAATAACATGCATTTGAAAACATTAAAGAGAAAACGAGTAAAAAGGAGGCGTACGAGTAAGAATAACGGCAAAAGCGTAAGTGAAGAATCGATCAATCAGTAATTAATTATGTTACGTTTTATTTATAAACATATAGAAAAGTCGGCCTATATTGTACAAAATATATTAAAGCGTGTATATTACACGTATCGTAAATCGTAAATGTATTATAAATATAACAATGACATTTTAATTTAAATTACATCTGGACCGTACTTTATATATACGCTAAATTGCACCTTCCACAAGCTAATCGATTGGCAATTCAGGACGAATACCGTTCGTTTACAGTGCTTTTTCATCGTTTACGGTGGTTTATATGGTATAATTATTTTTTTAACACACCGTTTCGGTACACGCAACGGTAGTTTACTTTTTGAGATTTCTTACTTTATTATCTTCTTTATAATTCCCGTTGTAACAGTGCTATATATATATATATATATATATATATTGTATAAAACATTGTATAAAATTAAGAAATCAAGGGAGATTATATGTATATATATATATAATCTCCCTTGATTTCTTAATTTTATACAATGTTTTTCTTAATTTTACTAATTTTTGTTTGAACATTTTTGAGACATGTGGAAATATATCCTATTTGTATCTCTTACAAGTTTGTTCTTCAGAAATCATATGGGCTAAACGTGACATGTGTGTACGTGAGTGTGATTACAGATATAATTATCGAATGGTCACGATAATTACACGATTCTCGCTTGGATCTTCACTTGAAGCAAACTGGTCCGACCGTGAAGCCGAAAGCCTGATGCGGCGAACCGTAGTCGATCGGATAAAAGTCAACCAACGGCAACTGTTGCGGTTTCCTAGTGCGAATCAAAAACACGGTTTCGGCCTTGCTCTTGCGATTTCTGCAACCATCCACAAGAACATGCGGCCTGGTGCCGTTGTACGAGAACACTTCCTCATTATCGCCGAGTAATCGCAGTGAGAGGTCATAACTGTGGCTCGACTGGTCACTGTTGTACCAGGCGACGCTGTTCATGCACGTATAAGTGAAGTTTTGGTAGACTTCTTGGCTGAGGAGACGCAGGAAGTTCAACTGTACCACTCCGATCGATTCATAAGTAATCTGTAAGATAAACTTGACTCAGGTGATTGGATGTTGATTAACAGTAAATGGCGCGATTTTGCGTCCGACGTCAAACTGATAACTTCTCGAGTAAGAAGAATTATATGAAACAATATAAAATCTCATGTATAATTATATATGTACACATTAATCGTATATATATGAACTTCGTTTCTATGTGGCTATATATATTATCACATGTAATTATAAATTTCCTACACAGAGAAGAACGCTATTAAATGAAGAAAATACAAATATAATATTTGGTAGTATATATATATTGGGTGAGTGCAAAAGTTCGTGCGGAGTTTGTGAGTAAAAGTCACACAGTGATTAGGCAAACAAAAATCTTTATTCAATCAATGATATATTCTCCATCGTTTTCTATAATCTTTTCCCAACGTTCTGGCAGCATACGGATGCCAGAACGTTGGGAACGTCAGAAATATATAATTATATATATATATATATATATATTGGGTGAGTGCAAAAGTTCGTGCGGAGTTTCAATAGATGGAGTTATAAGCGTCGTAAAGTGTTGTCATTAATACTTCCATCTACATATTATATAACAAGTTGGAAAGGTGACGTCTTCAGCTGTTATTAAAAAAAAATCATTTGTTTTCATACAAACTGCTTCGAGAAATATCACTTTAAAAATGAGTATCGATAAGGTGCATTTACGCTTTACATGTTATGCTTTACGAGTTTCGGAAGGGAATAAACGTTGTCGCAGCCGTAGAAAACATTCAGGATGTTTATCAGGATGAAGCACCAGCTAAACGAACTGTGGAAAAATGGTTTGCTAAATTTCGGCGCGGAGAATTTAACCTTGAAGACGAGCCACGCTCTGGTCGACCTTCTGACATTGATGACGATGTTTTGCGTACTTTAGTGCTCAATAATCCGCGAATTTCAACAGAAGAAGTTGCTACTACTCACTAAACGTTGACCGATCAACCGCTTTTCGGCGTTTAAAAAAGATGGGATTCGATTTGAAGCTCGATATATAGGGGGCCCCATTTGCTGACCGAGAAGAACAAAATCAAGCGAATTTCTGCAGCCGTTTCTTTACTCGGGCGGCTCAATAACGAGTCGTTTTTGGATCGACTAGTGACGGGCGATGAGAAATGGGTCCTCTACAACAATGTTCAGCGCAAACGGACATGGAAACAATCAGGTGAGCATGGTGACGCAATGCCAAAGGCCAGTTTGCACCCGATGAAGGTGATGCTCTCTGTTTGGTGGGATTGCAAGGGCATAATCTATTTCGAGCTTCTCCCCGCTGGCGAAACGATTGATTCGGACAAGTACTGTCGCCAATTAACCAATCTGAATCGAGAAATAAAAGAGAAACGTCCGATTTTGTCAAATCGCAAGGGAGTCGTCTTTCATCACGACAACGCCAGACCACACGTTTCGAAAAAGATGCTGCGCAAACTGAAGAGCCTGAAATGGGATGTCTTAACGCATCCACCGTATTCTCCTGATATCGCACCATCTGACTATCACTTGTTCCAGTCATTGCAAAATTATTTAAATGGGAAAAACTTTGACTCTTTGGAGGCCTTAAAAAACGGCGTCTCTTCGTTCTTCGAATCTAAACCGCGCAGTTTTTATGATCGAGGCATCCGTATGCTGCCAGAACGTTGGGAAAAGATTATAGAAAACGATGGAGAATATATCATTGATTGAATAAAGATTTTTGTTTGCTTAATCACTGTGTGACTTTTACTCACAAACTCCGCACGAACTTTTGCACTCACCCAATATATAATTAAGATACATTTTAACTCTCTGTATGATATACCATCATATACCATCATAAATAATTACAATATGTCCATACAAAAGAAATAAAATATTATTGTACGAATACAATTAAAGTAACTATTTATATTTGTGATAGCCCGTGATGTAAATTTTAATTAAATAAAGCTATTATATTTGTATTTTCTTCATTTAATAGCGTTCTTCTCTATGTAGGATATATATATATATATATATATATATATATTTACATATAATACATGTAATGTCTTGAAACGGTTGCAGCGTGGTTAACGGGCTTCAGGAATAGAAATTATGGAAGACTTACTCGGAATCCTCCGCGCAAGTGCGAATACCAGTCGCTCTTGTTATTCTCTTTCCTCCATGGTATGTTCGGCATTTGGCTACTATGAACATCGGGAAACACACAGGTCTCACCCATGCTGGAGATGTTGCAGTACACGTAGATCGCGTCGTCCGGCATGCCTAGATTCGGGTCAATCCAGTACCAACCTATTTGACGGAGATTAACACCGAACTCGCTCAAACATCGAGAATGAAGTGAGTCATCTCTTAGAGGCGGTTAGGTTAGAGTGACATCGGTTTACCGACATCGGTTCTGAGATAGTTAATTATGTGATGTAGAAATCAATATAACGAAGAATGGACTTACCATCCTTGAAGTGAGGATGCCCATAAAACAGATCTCTGCACGTCCTCACTGGATTTGCTCTGGTACCAGTCGGCTTGCGTATCCGATCTAATGCTTGTCGCATGGCGTAAATAGAGCTGTACATGTCTAAGAATTCGGGACCCAGTTCCTCTTCCGATTGTCCATTCTTATTTTCTTGTTGCTCGTTCTTGTTCTCGTCAACTTTTTCTTCCTCTTCATCCCTGGGTCGAGTGGAAATAATCAATGAGAAAGATTTAGCAAACACGATATAATACTTTGCAGGATACTCTTTTCCGAATTACAAGTCTATCTAGAAAAGCAATGATTTAAATTGCAAGTCTATCTTGAAAAGCTTTTCATCTTGTCAGATTTGCGAGAGCTTTCCAACTTGGCGTACTGAATATGTACTGAAGATAATACAAGTAATCAAAATTTGCATTTCTTACTTTTTCTCCTTTTTAGTTAAAATTGAACGGTTTAGAGTAGTTACTCCACGCTTACTCGTTTGCCGAAACGTCACGTCTTCTTCTGGCCAATTGACCTCTGGCAAACAGCAGTTCCGGCGGGATCATAGGCTGCTCCGCTGGTGGACCGGGCGGTCCCGGTGGGCCCGTTGGACCCGCATCGCCTTTCGTTCCATCGTTCCCGGTGTTTCCTTTCGGTCCAGGCGTACCCTCCATACCAGGTAAACCCGGAGGACCATCATTGCCTTTCGATCCAACTGGACCGGCAGGTCCGGGGCTTCCTTTGGGCCCTTCGTGTCCGATTTGTCCTCGCAAACCTTTCTCACCCTGCTCTCCTTGATCACCTTTGATTCCGACATGTCCTAAATCACCCCGGTGTCCTTTAACACCTCTGCGACCCTTGTCGCCTTTCGGACCTTTCGGGCCGACCGGTCCAACTTTACCCGAAACACCGACAGCACCAGCTATACCCGGTGGTCCATTTTCCCCCGCTGCTCCTGGCAAACCTCTTACTCCTGGCAAACCAGGTGGGCCAGGTAAACCTTGAGGACCGACGTGTCCTTGAGGTCCTGGCGGTCCAGGTAAACCTACATCTCCTTTTTCTCCTGGTAAACCTGTGTTACCTTGTAGCCCTGCCGGTCCTTCTGGACCCTGAGAATTAATTGTACGCGTGATTGAAATTTTTATCGTTACGAAAGGAACGTTACACAAGAACTCTTCCATTTTTCTCTTTTATTTTTATATTAAAAATACCGATTTTCCGGGAGGACCAGGTAATCCTTCCTTGCCGAGCGGTCCAGCTTCGCCCGGTGAACCGGCGTCGCCAATATGTCCGTCCTCGCCATCCTTTCCAGCCTCGCCTTTTGCGCCCGTGAGACCAGGTTCTCCGGGAGGGCCGGGAAAGCCAGGTAGTCCTACATTACCTTTCGGTCCTTCGGGTCCGATTAATCCTCGAAGTCCCGGATGGCCGGATGAACCTGCTTTGCCTTCCTCACCTTTCGCTCCGGGGAAACCTCTTTCTCCCTTAAAAAGTTCGTTAAGTTTAATACATTAACATATTTAAGTAAATTATATCAAGTTAATTAATAAAATCAAAGGTAATTAACAAATAATTTATAAATAAATTATAAGATAATTAATAAATAATGAATAAATAAATTATAAGATAATTGATAAAAAAAATGTAAATATTGATACAACGAAAGAAAGCGGGAGGAAAAAAAGAGAATGGTTTAACCTGCCTGTTTACCCACTGCTCCTGGTACACCGGGAGGCCCTGAACTCCCATTATCTCCTTTCACACCTTGGCGGCCTTCCGGGCCTGATGAACCCTGCGTACCTTTAAATCCCTTCGGACCCTTAGGACCCCGTTCTCCCGGAGCACCTGGTGACCCCATTGGTCCGGTGGTTCCAGAATCTCCAACTTCGCCTTTTGTACCTGGCGGACCCGGTAGACCTTGCGATCCGATAGGTCCAGCTAGACCAATCGCTCCGGCCGGACCTTCTTCGCCTTTAGGCCCTTGCCGTCCCATCTCGCCGGGTGGTCCCTTCTCTCCAAAAGGACCCATCAAGCCAGGTTCACCGCGCGGTCCTTGGATACCTTGCGGACCCGGAGGACCCTGTATGCGTGTATGTTTTTCTCCTTTTTATGATCATATGATTCAAAGGGCTATTCATCGGTAGGATTATCTCGTTATCTTTCTTATTTTTTTCGATCGATTAATTACTAAGCCGGATACGCACCATTTCTCCTTGGGATCCTTTAAATCCTTTTTCGCCGGGTGGACCTATGTCGCCTTTATCACCGTCTTCTCCCGGTACTCCGACTGGTCCAGGTGGTCCTGGTAATCCTCTTTGCCCCGGCAGACCGTCGCGACCAGTAGGTCCAGCCAATCCAGGCTCACCCTGAGATTTTTCAATTAAAGTAAAATTAACGATATTTCTTGTCCAAATTCCTGTTCATAGGTAAACAAGAGACTTAGCTTATTATTCTTTTTGCGCTTCGTGTAATTACCCTGTCTCCTTTAAGCCCAACAGGCCCTGGCGGACCTTCAGGTCCTTGCCTGCCTTCTAAACCTGGTGACCCATCCTTACCAGATTCACCTTGAGCACCCTTATCGCCGGACGGTCCTTGAGCTCCGATGGGACCTATCTCTCCTTTCAAACCAGCTAATCCCTACAATTCACAAATTAAACAGTGTTAAATCTAATAATGCAGGATGTTCTATTAAATTTAAGCGTCATAAATATAAGCATAAATTAAGCGCGATAAATGTCATTTTCACCTTTGACGATACAAAAAGTAGCAAAGAAATAAATTATGTCTTTCAAGTGCGTCTTCATAACGACAAAAACTAATTTCTCCAAGATTGTATCTCTTATGGTTTGAGAGAAAGATGATAGATTAAACGGTCGACCATTCTTTCAGAATGACGGTAATCTCTCATTTGGTTTTATATTTATCGGTTTTGTTTGATTATACAGTGCCATTATTTCGGAGATATTTCGGATGTTCAAATTAGTCAATCATAATTATCAATATCGAAAGTAACTGACTGGCAAACCACTCAGTCCTCTTTCTCCTGGAAATCCTGGTAATCCTCCAGGACCCGGCGGTCCTGCTGGTCCCGTTAAACCAATTGGACCTGGCGGTCCTTCTTTCCCTTGTTCACCCGGTGGACCAATTTCTCCCGGAAGTCCCGGGCTGCCTGGCGCTCCAGGTTCACCAGATTGTCCAGTTTCTCCTATTGGTCCTTGAAGACCAATAACGCCAGGAACTCCCGGGGATCCCGGAGGTCCAGACTCTCCAATCGGACCACGTTCACCAGGTGGACCTGGTATACCGTCTTTACCGTCGAGACCCAGAGAACCAGGTGGTCCCACAAAACCACGCGGACCTTCGACACCTGGAGGACCGACCTCTCCTGGTAGTCCTGGGGGTCCTGGTTGACCGGTGTCGCCCTTCGGACCTGGTAATCCTTCCGAACCTCTTCTCCCACGAGCTCCTCTGAAACCCTATATGATGGCGTTAATTGGCATGTTATGTTATGCATTGTATATAAAACATATACACCATACACATACACATACTTAGATATTAGAATATCATATAATATATATGTGAAATACATTGTGTATATCTATACTATATACGTTATACGATTGCATGATACGCGTGCCCGTATCATATGCATTATATTTATTATTAAATTATGTTTTGTTGTGTCTACAAATTATGCCATATATAAATTCTATTCTCTCTCTCTCTCTCTCTCTCTCTCTCTCTCTCTCTCTCTCTCTCTCTTCCTCTTTCTCTTTCTCTTATATGCAAAAATATAATATTTACGTGAACGAATATTATCCATGTATAATAGATTATGATATATACTGTTATACTATTATATAAATATTACATTGGCAAGGATAAAGGTAAGAAAAAGAAAGCATACACGATATATCTTGGACAAAGGGCGTTTCAAAAGCGTTCAATATGTTCGAGTAAACATATGTTTTCATAATCGTTAGGAACGCTACTAACGATGAACTTACTCGTGGCCCTATTTCACCGCGTTCTCCTTGCAGTCCGTTATTCCCCTAGAATTAAAGGCAAGTAGTGCGTTATTAAACCAATTAGAATCAAAGGGCTGAACATATTTTTGTTTGTTATAGTTAATGATATTCACCCTTTCGCCTTTATCACCGCTAGGACCTTGCTTCCCCGGTTGCCCTTTATCTCCCTTTTCTCCAGGATTTCCAGGATAGCCAGCGAACCCAGATACACCAATTTTGCCCTTCTCACCAGCCGCGCCAGCAGGTCCAGTCTCACCGCGCGGCCCTTCGAAGCCCTTTGGTCCCTCCAATCCTTCGAGGCCCGGGATACCCTGCGGTCCCGTTGTTCCAGGTTCCCCTTTCACTCCAACGTCGCCTTTTTCGCCCTCTAATCCTTTCTCGCCCTTCTCGCCACGTTCACCAGGCGGACCGCGCTGCCCTTCGTCGCCTTTTATACCGCGCACGCCTGGAAAACCTATAGGTCCTTGTGGACCTGGCGGACCTTGTTCACCCTTCACTCCAGGCACTCCAGAATTACCCGGAAGACCTGGAGATCCATCCGCACCCGGAAGACCGGGGATTCCGGGTTTCCCTTGCGGACCCTGTTTAGATTAGGAATTATTTCTATCACAAGGTGATTCATGACTGGTCACGAAGATGCTTCAGAGAATAAATATACAGCGAAACAAGTAAATATATAATTTAAATACATTATATGTCTAAATTATAGTACAATATATGTTTAAATCACATTTTTCAATCGTTTCAGTGAGCAGATTCATTTCTTAAAATGATGTCATACGTTTATAAATCGCTCTTATCTAGATACAATTATATCAGTAATATGGAACATAATAATGGAGAAACTTTTTTCAATTTTCAACGTTATTACTAGTGTCATTTCGAGAGAGGATACATGAATTCTGGAATGCCTTGCACATCTAACCGTATTTGATGTTTATTAATTATTTTTGCCACGAATTTTCCACGCAATGGATATGTAGATAATAATTCTTTGGAGTTATTAAACATAGAAAATGAAAAACTTACGGCTAGACCGGTCGGTCCTAGCAGACCTTGAGATCCAGGTGGCCCCACTGGACCTATGGGTCCTGGTTGACCTAGCGCACCAGCAGGACCCGGTGGGCCGGCGTTGCCTTTAACACCGGGCGGTCCTTCGTTTCCAGGAATGCCAGGATTACCCGGTACTCCAGGAAAACCTCTTGGTCCGATAAATCCTCTCGGACCCTGTACAAATTGAACTCATTTCTCGAACTTCTATCTTCTTCGCAACAACGAAAAAGAAATACTTGAATAGTCCTTACTAATTCACCGGGTAAACCTGGTAAACCGGGAGGGCCATCCTCACCCTGTATTCCCTCATGACCCGGCAAACCCGGTTCTCCGGATATCCCCGGAAGTCCTCGTTCACCTTTATCTCCAGGAAGACCCGGTAATCCTATTAGCCCTTGCTCGCCTTTTACCCCTGGCGGTCCACCGAGACCTCGTTCACCGTCTCTGCCAGGACGACCTCTTCTTCCCTCTCTACCGGAATTTCCGGGGATTCCTGCGAAAAATTGGTCATTTCTGTGCTCTTGCAAAAGATAAGCAGATCGGAAAGAATTGACGTGAAATTTCTTCGGCAAAATCAAATCACCGAATTTGTGCGTGACATATATAATTATGTTACTGTATGTTGTTATTATACGGGGTGTCCCATTTTAATGTCCCATCCCAAATAACTCTTCGGTATTGTAGTTTCAAGGAAAATGATCTGAATAAAAGTTGTAGGGATTTAAGTGAGCTACCTCACGGTGACCTTGACTTTGACTTTGATCTCTATTTTCAAGGTCACTTGAAGGTCAACTTGCGTTTTTTTAATGGGCACCCTTATTTTTTATTTCACTGTTTTTCTTTTCTACTAGTTAATTTGAACAACTTTTGTCTAAAACATTTTTTTATTTGTCTAATATTTTCTGAGATATTTGAGGAAAACTTGATAACTTTTTCAATATTTAACTTACGATATCTCGCTAATTATTTGTCGGAAGAAAAAGTGGTACTACACTTTCTTGCTTTATTTGGTCTCAAGAATATATATTATTAAAATAGCGCCCTGATTTTTGTTAATTTGATGATTTTGAAATTTCCAGAAATCAGTAAGCTAACAAAAGTCAAGGCGCTATTGTAGCAATATATTCTTGGGACTAAATAAAGCATGAAAGTCTGATACCACTTTTTGTTCCGACAAATAATTAGCGAGATGTCGTAAGTTAAATATTGAAAAAGTTATCAAGTTTTCCTCAAATATCTCAGAAAATATTAGACAAATAAAAAAATGTTTTAGACAAAAGTTGTTCACATTAACTAGTAGAAAAGAAAAGCAGTGAAATAAAAAATAAGGGTGCCCATTAAAAAAAAACGCAAGTTGACCTTCAAATGACCTTGAAAATAGAGGTCAAAGTCAAAGTCAAGGCCACCGTGAGGTAGCTCACTTAAATCCCTATCACTTTTATTCAGATCATCTTCCTTGAAGCTTCAATACCGAAGAGTTATTTGGGGTGGAACATTAAAATGTCCCACCCCAAATGACACCCTGTATATCTGTTTCATACCGATTACACGTTTGTTCGAACAAATTTTGCAAAAACAACGACAAACAAATGTTGTTTGTTCGTCCAAGCAACTCGTCGTTGCTTGTTAATCCTATTTCCACTTTCACTTTTTAGTGCGAAACATACCTCTTTCTCCTCTGGGACCAGGTTCGCCGATGTCACCGGGTTCTCCTTTCTGACCCTGAGGTCCGGACGGTCCCTCAAGTCCTGGTGTGCCGGTGAGGCCCATCGGGCCCTCCGTACCTCTCATCGTGAGCATGTGCTGCGACAACATCTGTCTCAGCGCTTCCGCCTGCGAGTCTGGTCCCTTTTCGTTACCTTGTGGGCTCAACTGCGGCATCACGAAGACATTGCCCGGCGGGCCGGGTGCACCTTGCAGTCCAGCCAATCCATCTCGGCCAGGTTCACCCTTTTTACCCGGTAGTCCGGGTAATCCCGGCGGCCCTGGGAAACCGCGGGATCCCGGTGGACCACGATGAGCGTTGTAATGCTCGTTGTCGTAATACGACCATTGTTCGTAAAGACTCACTGTGGGAAGGTTTTCGTGATTATCCTCGTAACTTGATTCTGCTTCGAACACGTTCGCGATGGTCGTTGTTGTCTGTACTTCATTAGACACCTGAGCAATGAAAAGATTAGAATTTCACTCCCTTATTTTATTCACACATTTTTCTTTATCTTTGCTCGTTTTGTTTTTTTATTTGTTAGCTAGTTCGACTTAGTTTCTTAGCTAAATCAAATTGACATTAGCTAATCGTATTAGCTAATTTAACATTCGTAAGACGTTAGCTACATGTCTGATCGACAGCCAACGTTCGGCGATCGTTCTTGCAAAAATGAGTTTTATTTCATTTGAGTTTAGTCAAGCGTAAATATACATTCGGAATGTACCGTGTGATTTCCGACAAAAATCTCCATCGTCGGTTTCAATACGTAAGTTATATTCGCAATACCACCAGAAGAGAAACCGCGGAAGTTTCCGTTGCCATCTTCGCCTAAATCCTCCTCGTTGTAATCATATTCGTTTTCACCTATCGCGCTCTCGTAATCTTTCAGTCTTTCAAATGCGTTATTGAATATGGAGGAGATCGCCGGATCGTTATAGCGATTATAAGTGGAGAGGTTTGCGTCCAGGTTCTCCGGTTCTCGATGCGATATAGCAGCAATTGAAAAGCTGCCGCTGGAAGAAGCGGAAGTATGATTCGGCTGTTTAGCAGTTATTTCAGAGCTTTTGTAATAAGTAGAGGACGTGGATTGTGTTCCAGATGACTCTTGGCTCCGATTGCTACTCAGTAAAGAGCTGTGACTCAATCTTTGTCTCCACTGGTGTCTACAGTCTGGTGCAAATACCGTGCAGATTTCATAGGCGGCATCTGGATTCGAGGCGATTTTCAACATCTCGAGGCTTCCCTAAAATTGGAAATGTACGTGCGAGTGTTTCGTCGTTTTATTTTCATTTTCATTTTTAATTTTAATCTAATTTATTAATCAGATGAAATCTTTTAATTTAATTCGTATTTAATTTTATTTTATAATGATACTGCCATCGCTGTGTATTTTATGAGATAAGTTCTCTTCGGCTTTCTCCTATCATTTCTTAACTAGAATTACACTGTCTTGCAACGATTATTCCCATCGTCCGCTTACCAAATACAAGCCGTCATGCTTAAGTTGCCGACCGACGGTGACGATACCGGCGATGCTGATAATCTCCTCGGGATTTCTCCGCAGCTCTCTCGTCATTTGCCTATTGCAGTCGAGAATGATTGTGACGGCGTCACCTTTGACGCTGACTCCCAGCCGATGCCACTTGCCATCGGAGATGTCGACGTCGAACGAGATTAACCTCCGATGATCGTTCGAGCCAGTGTTGTACAAGAGGCTGATGTCGCGCCCCAACGACAGAGCCAGCTGATCGTTACCGTTGTCGCTGTAGATGGTGAAGAGCGTAGATTTGGGGTAAGCTGTGATCGAATATTCGAATAAAGATCGTGAATATGTCGCAGGTATTGAAGATACATATCGTTGGTAAATAATGATATAAAAAGAATAGTATTTCGCCATTAATTGTATCGTATATTTATGATCCTTTAATTTAAAATCCTATATCCTGTTAGGCAATGTGTTAGTCGATCTTGCAACATGGAGCTGCGACTCACTAGTCCTTAGCTTCGCGGTGATCAAGACGGAGAAATCTTGCGGCATGCCGGCCGGAAACAGCGTATTGGTATTAATAGTGAGGAACGCGGTTTCAGCGATATCGTACGCAGTCGTGCCATTTCTACAACGACCCTGCGCGCTCGTTACCCCGAGCGGTTTCTGCTGCATTCGTACTGCCTCCAACAGGTCCACCGTGTTCTTCGCTGAAATAAAAATCAGTGGTGGTAAGTGGGAAAGTCGCGGAAGTGATCGGGATATCATATGTGAGACATATATTCGCATAAGAAAATTTCTTCGAGACAGATCAGAGAACGTATACTATTTTTGTACGAATGTGGCAGTCGGATAAGAGGGACATAAAATTAAAAGTAGGAATGAGTTGGCGTAATAAGATGGGTGCAATGAGCGACTAGAAACCTAGTGACCCGTGAACTCGTCGCTCGTAACTCAGATCGCTCGAACGAGCGTCTGAACGACCAATTCAAGAAGACGACGTGCCGCGAGCGTAACGCGCGACATGTAACTTTGCATGCGGCACATACGAAGTTCAATTAATGTAATACAGATCATTAAGAGCGCATCGCACCGACAACAATAAAACCGCATGTGCTCAATCCAAACTAGGAAACTGAAACTTTTATCTGAATTATTCTTCGCCAATTCTCTTCCCGCATTGCTGCAGAGCATTGCTGTTAAATGTTGCTACTAAAGCAACACTTTAATATTTCGTACTGTCAGATCGTACGATCGGATGGATTTTCTACGTATGCGGAAGGCATGCTGGTAGTAAAGTTCTATTTTTAAATATTATTTCAATATTGTGTTATAATCCCGAAATATTGAAAATGTAACTAGGAAGGTGGAAATTGCAAGTTTTAATATGTAATATGCGTTAAAAAAGTCAATATGAAGAGAATAATTTGTGATCGCGTGTCTATGTAAGGTGTGTAATTAGGTGACGATAATGATGCGTATGTAAGATTCCATTTGAGTACAGAAATAAAACTTGTTGTGACATTTCGTCGAGGGAGATGAAAGGTATTTGTTCCAAATGGGTCGATGACATTTTCTCTAATATTTAAAATGACAGGTTGTTCTCTGTGCGACTTACCCATATCTCTGGCTGTGATATCTGCTATCGTCGGCCGCGATTGAAGACTCGATGTGACGAAGAAGAACAGGAAGAGGAACAGATGGGACTTGAGGAGATACCTCAAAGATTGCATTTTCCATCGTCTTCTCGGATGATTTAATGGTCTCATGCTGCCACCTTGTCGTCAGACCATGCTTTCTCAAACTTTCAGGATATTTCTTATACGAGCAACTGTGGGTCGATCGCACATAGACCGAGATTACCAAGAGGCCGACGTCATTGATTGTACAATTTTCGCGGGGGATATGAGTATTTCTCATAAATATGAGCTTGTTCTTTTCACGCTTCTTTTCTTCCTTCTTTCTCTTTTCCTTTTCTCTCTCTCTCTCTCTCTCTCTCTCTCTCTCTCTCTCTCTCTCCTCCTCTCTCTAGTTCTTTTCCTTCTTGTAGTTCTTGTTCTCCTTTTACGTTCTTCCTTTTCTTCCTTTCCTGCTGGACGTACCCTTCTTGAAATGAACACAGCACGTTAACGAGTACCCGCTTGAGCGAATGTACCTCCTCTTCTCTTCTCTCTTTGCTATATTGTCCCTTCCTCTGTCAGTCCCTTCCTCCGTCTTTTGATCCCACTCTTCTCCTTCTATGATATATCAAACATCTTCTTATGGCTACGCATGTGATGTGTGTCGCTTAGATGACTCGCATCTGCGTTCCAAACATGTGTTCTTTAATGACGATTCCGCGTCTCGCCTATTGACACTGATTCATGCTGCACGTGGCACTATCGTCTGTGAGTGCAGCTATTCGATTAAACCTTTCTTTTTTAACGACAATACTTAATTTTAAATTAACTGCTGCAAAGTTGTTATGGACATGTTTGATCGTATCGCTACGTATTGTCAAAAGATGACGTTCAGAAGGAGAAGAAGATATACATATTGTACAATACATCTACATACATCGTGAGAAATAAGCAATGTCGATACATTGAAGACAGAGACAAGACGAATGGAAACATATCTGAAAACTCTTTTTCTTCAATCAAGTCGTCATTTTGAAGAGTAGAGATTCATTTTTATTTTTTGATTTTTTGATACATTTTGATTTTTTCATTTGTATGTGTCTCTTTATTTGCGATGTGATTTTTTCGTAAGTATAATTGACACGAAATGCAAAATACGTATAATGGAGTGTATATTAAACTGAAGATATGAATTTATATAAGACCTCAAGGAAAGAGAAATATAACGATTTAATCGAAATGTCATATGTTAAGCAATTAAAATTTCGTATATTCTTTTACGCTTGATTTATGATTATAATATTTCTCTTCAGCGGTGTAATTATTAGAATGTCCTAAAACGGCGTGTTTTGGGGAGCAACCTATATAGTGAAGAACACCAATGTCAGTAACCGAGGTCAGTGACCGAGGAAAGCTACTTGTAATAAACGTCGACATCACTTGCATGTTCATTGATTGAGTTTTGCTTATCATCTCGTAAAGTATTCTTTTCTTCCGCAATATTATTTATTATTTTTCTACATATCTTGATGAAGTAACAGCTTTACTTGTACAACCTTATTTCTATGAAATCCATTTTTAATAATAAAGAAATAAGTAAAAGGTATGGAGATAAATACTCGGAAAAAGGAACGAGAATTGTACAAATATTTATATCGATGAAAAGAGAAGAAATTCTTGCATTTAAGTATTTACATAGTAATTGTTTTATTAGTTTTGTTAAAATGAAGGAGGGAAATAACATCGCGCATTAAATACGTTTAAAAAATAATTAGTAACTCAATATGTATGCTGAGTTATTTAGCTTGCGTCATTGTTATTTCGGTTAAAGTTATAATTTGTTAAATTGTAATTATTTATTGCATTAAATTAATAAGTTGCGTTGTATTATTCAAAAGCATAAATTGCACTTAAAAATTACGATGAGATATATTTTTATCTTAATATTATATGAAAAATAATAGCAAAGATATGTAAAGAAGATTTTGGAATTAATTATTAAAATAATTGGCTCTTTATGCTAATAATAATGCGATAAAAATTAACTGGAAAAAATGCTTTCAATTCTGATTTGGGCATAATTAAGTTCCAAGCGCCATCTAATGGTATTGAGGAAATTAAAATGATATCTCGGTTTGAGTCTCAAATGAACACTTGTGAGTCGAGCTTCATGCTGAGAATANAACCCTGCGTACCTTTAAATCCCTTCGGACCCTTAGGACCCCGTTCTCCCGGAGCACCTGGTGACCCATTGGTCCGGTGGTTCCAGAATCTCCAACTTCGCCTTTTGTACCTGGCGGACACCGGTAGACCTTGCGATCCGATAGGTCCAGCTAGACCAATCGCTCCGGCCGGACCTTCTTCGCCTTTAGGCCCTTGCCGTCCCATCTCGCCGGGTGGTCCCTTCTCTCCAAAAGGACCCATCAAGCCAGGTTCACCGCGCGGTCCTTGGATACCTTGCGGACCCGGAGGACCCTGTATGCGTGTATGTTTTCTCTTTTTATGATCATATGATTCAAAGGGCTATTCATCGGTAGGATTATCTCGTTATCTTTCTTATTTTTTCGATCGATTAATTACTAAGCCGGATACGCACCATTTCTCCTTGGGATCCTTTAAATCCTTTTTCGCCGGGTGGACCTATGTCGCCTTTATCACCGTCTTCTCCCGGTACTCGCCGACTGTCCAGGTGGTCCTGGTAATCCTCTTTGCCCGGCAGACCGTCGCGACCAGTAGGTCCAGCCAATCCAGGCTCACCCTGAGATTTTTCAATTAAAGTAAATTAACGATATTTCTTGTCCAAATTCTGTTCATAGGTAAACAGAGACTTAGCTTATTATTCTTTTTGCGCTTCGTGTAATTACCCTGTCTCCTTTAAGCCCAACAGGCCCTGGCGGACCTTCAGGTCCTTGCCTGCCTTCTAAACCTGGTGACCCATCCTTACCAGATTCACCTTGAGCACCCTTATCGCCGGACGTCCTTGAGCTCCGATGGGACCTATCTCTCCTTTCAAACCAGCTAATCCCTAAATTCACAAATTAAACAGTGTTAAATCTAATAATGCAGGATGTTCTATTAATTTAAGCGTCATAAATATAAGCATAAATTAAGCGCGATAAATGTCATTTTCACCTTTGACGATACAAAAAGTAGCAAAGAATAAATTATGTCTTTCAAGTGCGTCTTCATAACGACAAAAACTAATTTCTCAAGATTGTATCTCTTATGGTTTGAGAGAAAGATGATAGATTAAACGGTCGACCATTCTTTCAGAATGACGGTAATCTCTCATTTGGTTTTATATTTATCGGTTTTGTTTGATTATACAGTGCCATTATTTCGGAGATATTTCGGATGTTCAAATTAGTCAATCATAATTATCAATATCGAAAGTAACTGACTGGCAAACCACTCAGTCTCTTTCTCCTGGAAATCCTGGTAATCCTCCAGGACCCGGCGGTCCTGCTGGTCCCGTTAAACCAATTGGACCTGGCGGTCCTTCTTTCCCTTGTTCACCCGGTGGACCAATTTCTCCCGGAAGTCCCGGGCTGCCTGGCGCTCCAGGTTCACCAGATTGTCCAGTTTCTCCTATTGGTCCTTGAAGACCAATAACGCCAGGAACTCCCGGGGATCCCGGAGGTCCAGACTCTCCAATCGGACCACGTTCACCAGGTGGACCTGGTATACCGTCTTTACCGTCGAGACCCAGAGAACCAGGTGGTCCCACAAAACCACGCGGACCTTCGACACCTGGAGGACCGACCTCTCCTGGTAGTCCTGGGGGTCCTGGTTGACCGGTGTCGCCCTTCGGACCTGGTAATCCTTCCGAACCTCTTCTCCCACGAGCTCCTCTGAAACCCTATATGATGGCGTTAATTGGCATGTTATGTTATGCATTGTATATAAAACATATACACATACACATACTTAGATATTAGAATATCATATAATATATATGTGAAATACATTGTGTATATCTATACTATATACGTTATACGATTGCATGATACGCGTGCCCGTATCATATGCATTATATTTATTATTAAATTATGTTTTGTTGTGTCTACAAATTATGCCATATATAAATTCTATTCTCTCTCTCTCTCTCTCTCTCTCTTCTCTCTCTCTCTCTCTCTCTCTCTTCCTCTTTCTCTTTCTCTTATATGCAAAAATATAATATTTACGTGAACGAATATTATCCATGTATAATAGATTATGATATATACTGTTATACTATTATATAAATATTACATTGGCAAGGATAAAGGTAAGAAAAAGAAAGCATACACGATATATCTTGGACAAAGGGCGTTTCAAAAGCGTTCAATATGTTCGAGTAAACATATGTTTTCATAATCGTTAGGAACGCTACTAACGATGAACTTACTCGTGGCCCTATTTCACCGCGTTCTCCTTGCAGTCCGTTATTCCCCTAGAATTAAAGGCAAGTAGTGCGTTATTAAACCAATTAGAATCAAAGGGCTGAACATATTTTTGTTTGTTATAGTTAATGATATTCACCCTTTCGCCTTTATCACCGCTAGGACCTTGCTTCCCCGGTTGCCCTTTATCTCCCTTTTCTCCAGGATTTCCAGGATAGCCAGCGAACCCAGATACACCAATTTTGCCCTTCTCACCAGCCGCGCCAGCAGGTCCAGTCTCACCGCGCGGCCCTTCGAAGCCCTTTGGTCCCTCCAATCCTTCGAGGCCCGGGATACCCTGCGGTCCCGTTGTTCCAGGTTCCCCTTTCACTCCAACGTCGCCTTTTTCGCCCTCTAATCCTTTCTCGCCCTTCTCGCCACGTTCACCAGGCGGACCGCGCTGCCCTTCGTCGCCTTTTATACCGCGCACGCCTGGAAAACCTATAGGTCCTTGTGGACCTGGCGGACCTTGTTCACCCTTCACTCCAGGCACTCCAGAATTACCCGGAAGACCTGGAGATCCATCCGCACCCGGAAGACCGGGGATTCCGGGTTTCCCTTGCGGACCCTGTTTAGATTAGGAATTATTTCTATCACAAGGTGATTCATGACTGGTCACGAAGATGCTTCAGAGAATAAATATACAGCGAAACAAGTAAATATATAATTTAAATACATTATATGTCTAAATTATAGTACAATATATGTTTAAATCACATTTTTCAATCGTTTCAGTGAGCAGATTCATTTCTTAAAATGATGTCATACGTTTATAAATCGCTCTTATCTAGATACAATTATATCAGTAATATGGAACATAATAATGGAGAAACTTTTTTCAATTTTCAACGTTATTACTAGTGTCATTTCGAGAGAGGATACATGAATTCTGGAATGCCTTGCACATCTAACCGTATTTGATGTTTATTAATTATTTTTGCCACGAATTTTCCACGCAATGGATATGTAGATAATAATTCTTTGGAGTTATTAAACATAGAAAATGAAAAACTTACGGCTAGACCGGTCGGTCCTAGCAGACCTTGAGATCCAGGTGGCCCCACTGGACCTATGGGTCCTGGTTGACCTAGCGCACCAGCAGGACCCGGTGGGCCGGCGTTGCCTTTAACACCGGGCGGTCCTTCGTTTCCAGGAATGCCAGGATTACCCGGTACTCCAGGAAAACCTCTTGGTCCGATAAATCCTCTCGGACCCTGTACAAATTGAACTCATTTCTCGAACTTCTATCTTCTTCGCAACAACGAAAAAGAAATACTTGAATAGTCCTTACTAATTCACCGGGTAAACCTGGTAAACCGGGAGGGCCATCCTCACCCTGTATTCCCTCATGACCCGGCAAACCCGGTTCTCCGGATATCCCCGGAAGTCCTCGTTCACCTTTATCTCCAGGAAGACCCGGTAATCCTATTAGCCCTTGCTCGCCTTTTACCCCTGGCGGTCCACCGAGACCTCGTTCACCGTCTCTGCCAGGACGACCTCTTCTTCCCTCTCTACCGGAATTTCCGGGGATTCCTGCGAAAAATTGGTCATTTCTGTGCTCTTGCAAAAGATAAGCAGATCGGAAAGAATTGACGTGAAATTTCTTCGGCAAAATCAAATCACCGAATTTGTGCGTGACATATATAATTATGTTACTGTATGTTGTTATTATACGGGGTGTCCCATTTTAATGTCCCATCCCAAATAACTCTTCGGTATTGTAGTTTCAAGGAAAATGATCTGAATAAAAGTTGTAGGGATTTAAGTGAGCTACCTCACGGTGACCTTGACTTTGACTTTGATCTCTATTTTCAAGGTCACTTGAAGGTCAACTTGCGTTTTTTTTAATGGGCACCCTTATTTTTTATTTCACTGTTTTTCTTTTCTACTAGTTAATTTGAACAACTTTTGTCTAAAACATTTTTTTATTTGTCTAATATTTTCTGAGATATTTGAGGAAAACTTGATAACTTTTTCAATATTTAACTTACGATATCTCGCTAATTATTTGTCGGAAGAAAAAGTGGTACTACACTTTCTTGCTTTATTTGGTCTCAAGAATATATATTATTAAAATAGCGCCCTGATTTTTGTTAATTTGATGATTTTGAAATTTCCAGAAATCAGTAAGCTAACAAAAGTCAAGGCGCTATTGTAGCAATATATTCTTGGGACTAAATAAAGCATGAAAGTCTGATACCACTTTTTGTTCCGACAAATAATTAGCGAGATGTCGTAAGTTAAATATTGAAAAAGTTATCAAGTTTTCCTCAAATATCTCAGAAAATATTAGACAAATAAAAAAATGTTTTAGACAAAAGTTGTTCACATTAACTAGTAGAAAAGAAAAGCAGTGAAATAAAAAATAAGGGTGCCCATTAAAAAAAAACGCAAGTTGACCTTCAAATGACCTTGAAAATAGAGGTCAAAGTCAAAGTCAAGGCCACCGTGAGGTAGCTCACTTAAATCCCTATCACTTTTATTCAGATCATCTTCCTTGAAGCTTCAATACCGAAGAGTTATTTGGGGTGGGACATTAAAATGTCCCACCCCAAATGACACCCTGTATATCTGTTTCATACCGATTACACGTTTGTTCGAACAAATTTTGCAAAAACAACGACAAACAAATGTTGTTTGTTCGTCCAAGCAACTCGTCGTTGCTTGTTAATCCTATTTCCACTTTCACTTTTTAGTGCGAAACATACCTCTTTCTCCTCTGGGACCAGGTTCGCCGATGTCACCGGGTTCTCCTTTCTGACCCTGAGGTCCGGACGGTCCCTCAAGTCCTGGTGTGCCGGTGAGGCCCATCGGGCCCTCCGTACCTCTCATCGTGAGCATGTGCTGCGACAACATCTGTCTCAGCGCTTCCGCCTGCGAGTCTGGTCCCTTTTCGTTACCTTGTGGGCTCAACTGCGGCATCACGAAGACATTGCCCGGCGGGCCGGGTGCACCTTGCAGTCCAGCCAATCCATCTCGGCCAGGTTCACCCTTTTTACCCGGTAGTCCGGGTAATCCCGGCGGCCCTGGGAAACCGCGGGATCCCGGTGGACCACGATGAGCGTTGTAATGCTCGTTGTCGTAATACGACCATTGTTCGTAAAGACTCACTGTGGGAAGGTTTTCGTGATTATCCTCGTAACTTGATTCTGCTTCGAACACGTTCGCGATGGTCGTTGTTGTCTGTACTTCATTAGACACCTGAGCAATGAAAAGATTAGAATTTCACTCCCTTATTTTATTCACACATTTTTCTTTATCTTTGCTCGTTTTGTTTTTTTATTTGTTAGCTAGTTCGACTTAGTTTCTTAGCTAAATCAAATTGACATTAGCTAATCGTATTAGCTAATTTAACATTCGTAAGACGTTAGCTACATGTCTGATCGACAGCCAACGTTCGGCGATCGTTCTTGCAAAAATGAGTTTTATTTCATTTGAGTTTAGTCAAGCGTAAATATACATTCGGAATGTACCGTGTGATTTCCGACAAAAATCTCCATCGTCGGTTTCAATACGTAAGTTATATTCGCAATACCACCAGAAGAGAAACCGCGGAAGTTTCCGTTGCCATCTTCGCCTAAATCCTCCTCGTTGTAATCATATTCGTTTTCACCTATCGCGCTCTCGTAATCTTTCAGTCTTTCAAATGCGTTATTGAATATGGAGGAGATCGCCGGATCGTTATAGCGATTATAAGTGGAGAGGTTTGCGTCCAGGTTCTCCGGTTCTCGATGCGATATAGCAGCAATTGAAAAGCTGCCGCTGGAAGAAGCGGAAGTATGATTCGGCTGTTTAGCAGTTATTTCAGAGCTTTTGTAATAAGTAGAGGACGTGGATTGTGTTCCAGATGACTCTTGGCTCCGATTGCTACTCAGTAAAGAGCTGTGACTCAATCTTTGTCTCCACTGGTGTCTACAGTCTGGTGCAAATACCGTGCAGATTTCATAGGCGGCATCTGGATTCGAGGCGATTTTCAACATCTCGAGGCTTCCCTAAAATTGGAAATGTACGTGCGAGTGTTTCGTCGTTTTATTTTCATTTTCATTTTTAATTTTAATCTAATTTATTAATCAGATGAAATCTTTTAATTTAATTCGTATTTAATTTTATTTTATAATGATACTGCCATCGCTGTGTATTTTATGAGATAAGTTCTCTTCGGCTTTCTCCTATCATTTCTTAACTAGAATTACACTGTCTTGCAACGATTATTCCCATCGTCCGCTTACCAAATACAAGCCGTCATGCTTAAGTTGCCGACCGACGGTGACGATACCGGCGATGCTGATAATCTCCTCGGGATTTCTCCGCAGCTCTCTCGTCATTTGCCTATTGCAGTCGAGAATGATTGTGACGGCGTCACCTTTGACGCTGACTCCCAGCCGATGCCACTTGCCATCGGAGATGTCGACGTCGAACGAGATTAACCTCCGATGATCGTTCGAGCCAGTGTTGTACAAGAGGCTGATGTCGCGCCCCAACGACAGAGCCAGCTGATCGTTACCGTTGTCGCTGTAGATGGTGAAGAGCGTAGATTTGGGGTAAGCTGTGATCGAATATTCGAATAAAGATCGTGAATATGTCGCAGGTATTGAAGATACATATCGTTGGTAAATAATGATATAAAAAGAATAGTATTTCGCCATTAATTGTATCGTATATTTATGATCCTTTAATTTAAAATCCTATATCCTGTTAGGCAATGTGTTAGTCGATCTTGCAACATGGAGCTGCGACTCACTAGTCCTTAGCTTCGCGGTGATCAAGACGGAGAAATCTTGCGGCATGCCGGCCGGAAACAGCGTATTGGTATTAATAGTGAGGAACGCGGTTTCAGCGATATCGTACGCAGTCGTGCCATTTCTACAACGACCCTGCGCGCTCGTTACCCCGAGCGGTTTCTGCTGCATTCGTACTGCCTCCAACAGGTCCACCGTGTTCTTCGCTGAAATAAAAATCAGTGGTGGTAAGTGGGAAAGTCGCGGAAGTGATCGGGATATCATATGTGAGACATATATTCGCATAAGAAAATTTCTTCGAGACAGATCAGAGAACGTATACTATTTTTGTACGAATGTGGCAGTCGGATAAGAGGGACATAAAATTAAAAGTAGGAATGAGTTGGCGTAATAAGATGGGTGCAATGAGCGACTAGAAACCTAGTGACCCGTGAACTCGTCGCTCGTAACTCAGATCGCTCGAACGAGCGTCTGAACGACCAATTCAAGAAGACGACGTGCCGCGAGCGTAACGCGCGACATGTAACTTTGCATGCGGCACATACGAAGTTCAATTAATGTAATACAGATCATTAAGAGCGCATCGCACCGACAACAATAAAACCGCATGTGCTCAATCCAAACTAGGAAACTGAAACTTTTATCTGAATTATTCTTCGCCAATTCTCTTCCCGCATTGCTGCAGAGCATTGCTGTTAAATGTTGCTACTAAAGCAACACTTTAATATTTCGTACTGTCAGATCGTACGATCGGATGGATTTTCTACGTATGCGGAAGGCATGCTGGTAGTAAAGTTCTATTTTTAAATATTATTTCAATATTGTGTTATAATCCCGAAATATTGAAAATGTAACTAGGAAGGTGGAAATTGCAAGTTTTAATATGTAATATGCGTTAAAAAAGTCAATATGAAGAGAATAATTTGTGATCGCGTGTCTATGTAAGGTGTGTAATTAGGTGACGATAATGATGCGTATGTAAGATTCCATTTGAGTACAGAAATAAAACTTGTTGTGACATTTCGTCGAGGGAGATGAAAGGTATTTGTTCCAAATGGGTCGATGACATTTTCTCTAATATTTAAAATGACAGGTTGTTCTCTGTGCGACTTACCCATATCTCTGGCTGTGATATCTGCTATCGTCGGCCGCGATTGAAGACTCGATGTGACGAAGAAGAACAGGAAGAGGAACAGATGGGACTTGAGGAGATACCTCAAAGATTGCATTTTCCATCGTCTTCTCGGATGATTTAATGGTCTCATGCTGCCACCTTGTCGTCAGACCATGCTTTCTCAAACTTTCAGGATATTTCTTATACGAGCAACTGTGGGTCGATCGCACATAGACCGAGATTACCAAGAGGTCGACGTCATTGATTGTACAATTTTCGCGGGGATATGAGTATTTCTCATAAATATGAGCTTGTTCTTTTCACGCTTCTTTTCTTCCTTCTTTCTCTTTTCCTTTCTCTCTCTCTCTCTCTCTCTCTCTCTCTCTCTCTCTCTCTCTCTCTAGTTCTTTTCCTTCTTGTAGTTCTTGTTCTCCTTTTACGTTCTTCCTTTTCTTCCTTTTCCTGCTGGACGTACCCTTCTTGAAATGAACACAGCACGTTAACGAGTACCCGCTTGAGCGAATGTACCTCCTCTTCTCTTCTCTCTTTGCTATATTGTCCCTTCCTCTGTCAGTCCCTTCCTCCGTCTTTTGATCCCACTCTTCTCCTTCTATGATATATCAAACATCTTCTTATGGCTACGCATGTGATGTGTGTCGCTTAGATGACTCGCATCTGCGTTCCAAACATGTGTTCTTTAATGACGATTCCGCGTCTCGCCTATTGACACTGATTCATGCTGCACGTGGCACTATCGTCTGTGAGTGCAGCTATTCGATTAAACCTTTCTTTTTTTAACGACAATACTTAATTTTAAATTAACTGCTGCAAAGTTGTTATGGACATGTTTGATCGTATCGCTACGTATTGTCAAAAGATGACGTTCAGAAGGAGAAGAAGATATACATATTGTACAATACATCTACATACATCGTGAGAAATAAGCAATGTCGATACATTGAAGACAGAGACAAGACGAATGGAAACATATCTGAAAACTCTTTTTCTTCAATCAAGTCGTCATTTTGAAGAGTAGAGATTCATTTTTATTTTTTGATTTTTTGATACATTTTGATTTTTTCATTTGTATGTGTCTCTTTATTTGCGATGTGATTTTTCGTAAGTATAATTGACACGAAATGCAAAATACGTATAATGGAGTGTATATTAAACTGAAGATATGAATTTATATAAGACCTCAAGGAAAGAGAAATATAACGATTTAATCGAAATGTCATATGTTAAGCAATTAAAATTTCGTATATTCTTTTACGCTTGATTTATGATTATAATATTTCTCTTCAGCGGTGTAATTATTAGAATGTCCTAAAACGGCGTGTTTTTGGGGAGCAACCTATATAGTGAAGAACACAATGTCAGTAACCGAGGTCAGTGACCGAGGAAAGCTACTTGTAATAAACGTCGACATCACTTGCATGTTCATTGATTGAGTTTTGCTTATCATCTCGTAAAGTATTCTTTTCTTCCGCAATATTATTTATTATTTTTCTACATATCTTGATGAAGTAACAGCTTTACTTGTACAACCTTATTTCTATGAAATCCATTTTTAATAATAAAGAAATAAGTAAAAGGTATGGAGATAAATACTCGGAAAAAGGAACGAGAATTGTACAAATATTTATATCGATGAAAAGAGAAGAAATTCTTGCATTTAAGTATTTACATAGTAATTGTTTTATTAGTTTTGTTAAAATGAAGGAGGGAAATAACATCGCGCATTAAATACGTTTAAAAAATAAATTAGTAACTCAATATGTATGCTGAGTTATTTAGCTTGCGTCATTGTTATTTCGGTTAAAGTTATAATTTGTTAAATTGTAATTATTTATTGCATTAAATTAATAAGTTGCGTTGTATTATTCAAAAGCATAAATTGCACTTAAAAATTACGATGAGATATATTTTTATCTTAATATTATATGAAAAATAATAGCAAAGATATGTAAAGAAGATTTTGGAATTAATTATTAAAATAATTGGCTCTTTATGCTAATAATAATGCGATAAAAATTAACTGGAAAATGCTTCATTCTGATTTGGGCATATTAAGTTCAGCGCCATCTAATGGTATTGAGAGAAAATTAAAATGATATCAGGTTTGAGTCTCAAATGACAACTTGTGAGTCGAGCTTCATGCTGAGAATAGGGTTGACACTGGACTCGTATTTTTGTGGTAAAAGTGCGTACCTGTATCTTGAGACGTTTAGAAGATATCGAAGGTTAAAGTTTTTAACTTGTACTGTTATTATCTCCGTTTCTATTGGGAATTGAGAGTCGAGTTGTGTGGTGAGAATAGGGTTGATATAGGAATATATTGTGGCAAAAAAGCGTGCCTGTATCTCCAGCCGTTTAGGAGATATCGAAGGTTAAAGATTTCCAACATTCTTCCGTTGATATCTCCGCTTCTACTGGGAGCAGAGAGTCGCCATTTACGGCAAAATGTAGGGTTTTGAGAGGACTTTAATTTGGTGCCAGAACCAGGCCTGTATCTCTAACCGTTTAGGAGATATCGAAGTTTAAAGTTTTCCAGCCTTTCTCCGTCGATATCCAGCCTTCCTCCGTCGATATCTCCGCTTCTGCTGGGAGTAGAGAGTCGTCCATGTAGTTGAAAATGTAGGGTTTTGAAATGTAGGGTTTTGAAAGGACTTTAATTTGGTGCCAGAACCAGGCCTGTATCTCTAACCGTTTAGGAGATATCGAAGGTTAAAGTTTTCCAACCTTTCTGCGTTGATATCTCCGCTTCTACTGGGAGTAGAGAGTCGCCACTTACGGCAAAATGTAGGGTTTTGAGAGGACTTTAATTTGGTGCCAGAACCAGGCCTGTATCTCTAACCGTTTAGGAGATATCGAACGTTAAAGTTTTCCAAGTTTTCTCCGTCGATATCTCCGCTTCTACTGGGAGTAGAGAGTCGTCACTTACTGCAAAATGTAGGGTTTTGAGAGGACTTTAATTTGGTGCCAGAACCAGGCCTGTATCTCTAACCGTTTAGGAGATATCGAAGGTTAAAGTTTTCCAAGCTTTCTCCGTCGATATCTCCGCTTCTACTGGGAGTAGAGAGTCGTCACTTACGGCAAAATGTAGGGTTTTGAGAGGACTTTAATTTGGTGCCAGAACCAGGCCTGTATCTCTAACCGTTTAGGAGATATCGAAGGTTAAAGTTTTCCAAGCTTTCTCCTTTGATATCTCCGCTTCTACTGGGAGTAGAGAGTCGTCACTTACGGCAAAATGTAGGGTTTTGAGAGTACTTTAATTTGGTGCCAGAACCAGGCCTGTATCTCTAACCGTTTAGGAGATATCGAAGGTTAAAGTTTTCCAGCCTTTCTCCGTCGATATCCAGCCTTCCTCCGTCGATATCTCCGCTTCTACTGGGAGTAGAGAGTCGTCCATGTAGTCGAAAATGTAGGGTTTTGAGAGGACTTTAATTTGGTGCCAGAACCAGGCCTGTATCTCTAACCGTTTAGGAGATATCGAAGGTTAAAGTTTTCCAACCTTTCTCCGTTGATATCTCCGCTTCTACTGGGAGCGGAGGGTCGTCACTTACGCCAAAATGTAGGGTTTTGAGAGGACTTTAATTTGGTGCCAGAGCCAGGCCTGTATCTCTAACCGTTTAGGAAATATCGAAGGTTAAAATTTTTCAACCTTTCTCCGTTGATATCTCCGCTTCTAGTGGGAGCAGAGTGTCGTCACTTACGGCAAAATGTAGGTTTTTGATTGGACTTTAATTTGGTGCCAGAAATAGGCCTGTATCTCTAACCGTTTAGGAGATATCGGAGATTAAAATTTTTCAACTTGTACCGTTGATATCTCCGCTTCTATTGTGAATTGAGTGTCGAGATTTAGGGCAAAAGCGTGTACCTGTTTTTTGAGTCGTTTATGAGATACCGAAGATTACATGTTTAAATTTAAATAAATTTTAATTTAATTCTTTAATTTTAATGTTGATATCTTCGCTTCTACATGGAGTTGGAAGTCGATGTTTATGGTGTGAATAGGGTTAATATAGGACTATATTGTGGCGAAAGCGCGTTTCTAGGTTTTGAGCCGTTTCCGCGAAGAAACTGGTCGGAGGACGTTCGCAGCCGTGGTGGAATTTGACGTTCGCGTTCGCAAGGGCCTAATATTTTACTCGCGAAGGGACGTCATCGTCCTTCTTTTCACAACGGTGTCGGATGTTTAGCTCCTTTCTTCCTAATTTTCTGCGACAACAAGACCGCGTCGGGGCCCTAACGGGGCATGTTCGCTTATAACTAGCGTTTATCTGAAGAGCGCTTCTCGGGAATATTCTGCTCGAAGGGTTAGTCCGCTATAGAAAGTTTCCTGCGATCGGAGACCGCTTTAGTTTAAAGTTAAATTGTAGCAAGAGTATTGTTATCGGGCAGCTCTGATGCGGGCTGCTGGCATCAATCTGTGACGTCTACCGCGCGCTTTTGCGATTACCGGTAAATTCAGTGTTCTCGATTGCTCGCGTGATTTCAGGTGGCCATAATATGGGGATAATACGTGGCAATGTGTGGCAATAATATATAGCAGTAATATACGGCAACAATATATGGCAACAATATATCGCAACAATATATGGCAATAATATATAGCTATAATATATGGCAATAATTCATGGAATATATTTTTCGTTATAAATGTCAATGCAAATTTGCGGCATGCACAATATAATAATAAAAGAGCTCTCTGTAAGTATTGAGTCAAACGCTCACCAATGATGATGTTGGTAATGTCCCGTTGCCAATGTCCAACCAGGTCTACCAATGTTCTTCCATGTCCGCTACCGCTCTCCATGTCGCTCAGCATTCATCTTGCAGCGCGTCCCACGGTGATTGCTACACTTTCATGACGCGGTCGATATTTGTATTAGAGCGGCGATATTTGCGTCAAATAACGAACGTTTTATGTCGACATCGGTGGAAACTTTTTATGCGCTGCGAAACGGACTTTATAAACTCGATCGGCAAGGAGCAAAAACTGTGTGAAAATTTATGGACTCGTCCAACGGACTTTTACGGCGCTTTTCGCGATTGCATCGGAAAAGTCACGAAAATGCGGTATTATCGATATCTACGAGTGCAATATTCACGAATGCACGTGAGGAAAGATTAGACAATCAAAAACCGGTCGCTTCAAGGGAACGCAAAAATAGAGAAGCGGGGCAACGTTTTCACGCATGATAGTTCCGTCACGACGAAGCTTACGTTCGCGATACTTTGGCGAAATGAGAATTTAAGTCTTCTTTGTTGGAGCACGGGTAAAAATGCGTATTTTGATAACCGCGGTCGCGATATTCAAAGGCACGCGAGCGAGGATACCTCAAGCTCGGCGTGCGCTTGCGCAATCTGTGCGCGCATTATACGCTACTCGAGACAATAGGGATCGTGATGAATGGACAATATTGCCATATAATTCTACAGCCTGTTTTGCAAATAAAAGAAAAGCAGCAACGGTATCGGCATTTATGCGTATGAATATATTTTACACGGACAATTGAATATTGTCAAATAATTATATCGTTAAATAATTCTGCGGCCCGCTTGAAAAATAAAAATAAAGCAGCTGATGACGATTTCGTGTTTGTACATCGCGGTTGTACAGAATATTTCTTATTCAGATGACTGAATATCAATAGAGAATCATTCACTATTTTAAATCTCGTATGTAATGCAGGATATCGCGATCAAATAATTCCCTAATTGTTTCGAGCAATGTATTGAATTCAACGTCACAAACACACACATGCAAGAATCTATTTGCAATTCGCATTGACTTGAACGATATTTCATCTGGTCACACCATATCCGTCATGCGGAATTTTGTTTTTCTTTTTATTTTGCATTTACTCACCGAAACGACTTGCAGTCAGAGCCGGCCACGTTCCGCTTCAACTCTGTAACAAAAAATTCACATTCGTTTATGAGATCAGACCAACGAGTGCGGGCGAGTAAAATTGTAGTTTACCCTTTGCGATCGTAATTCAAGTCGAGTCGGAAATTATATCCCAGCTCTAGATCGGCAAGAGTCAAACAGAGGATTATAGTAAATTTGTAAACTTACCTTCAAGCCGACTCTGCTTGGCCCGAACCGAATCCTTCGGTGCGGCACCCGCGTCCGCCGAATTGCTGTTGTTTTCCGCACAACTGAAACAGAAAAATAATTTCCCGGTTAATAACCTGCGGTAGAGAGAGAATATCTTGGATCGGGCGAATCGAAAATACGGAAATATTTTGATGTGGGATTTTTATCTCAATATTTATATTTCAATATTGAAGATTTAAATGAGACATGAAACTTTCAAGAGAGCTGATGAGGAACAAGTTGCAAAGGCAAAGATCGTAAAGGGTTGAACACAGATGTATAGGAAACTTGTAAACTTTACCTTCCGATCGACTCTGCTTGGCCCGAACCGGATCCACCGGTACGGCATCCGCATCTGCCGGATTGTTGTTACTTTCCGCAACAACTAAAACAGAAATGTAGTTTTCCCAGTTGGTAATCTGTGGTGGAGAGAGAATATCTATGATCGAGGTAAATCGGAAATACGGAAATATTTTGATATGGGATATTTATCTCAATATTTTAGTTCCAACATTGAAAATTCAAATGAGACATGAAGCTTTCAAGAAAGCTGATGAGGAACAAGTTGCAAAAGCAAAGATGTTAAAGGGTTGGACAAAGATGTGTAAAAAACTTGTAAACTTTACCTTCCAGCCGACCCTGCTCTGCCCGAACCAGATCCTCCGGTGCGGCATCAGCGTCCGCCAGACTTGCTTCTCGCAACGTCTGGAACAAAAATTTAGCGTTCCTGGTTGGTAAGCAGCGATAGAGAAAGAATGTTTGATCGGAATGAATGGAGAATATTCGCTACGGTTTTTTTCTTCATTGACATTGAAAGTCTAGATAGGACATGGAGCTCTTGAAAGAGCTGACGAAAAAAGATGACAACAAGAAACGGAGACAACAGTTGTGTGCTCTCGAAAATATTTTTTTACAAATGGACATTTAAATTTGAATCCCGTAAGGAGAGTAAGCAAACTTGAAATTTTGTAATGCTTGACGCAAATTTTGTGATACCATTATTTTTGGAGAAGATACAAATAAAATGATATAATTTGATTTTGGTTTATTTTTATTTGGTTAAATTATTATCTTCTTCTATAAAAATAGAAATTTGGATAATAATATTTCATGTTAACGTATTTAGATTAGTTATCATATAAAAATAATAAATACATGGTACTCAATGCATGCGACTTACATTGTCGTATTCTTACTGGTGTCCTTTACTCGCGGCATCATAATCCTCGACCGAAATAATCCCTGTGTCTCGGAACGTCGCCTCATCCCTCATTGTGAATGTAATCCCTCGGATCGCTCACTGTCACGGACACTGTCATTGCACTATTAAACACTGCACAATTAAACTATTAATGACGTTCGGATAATAGGCCTTTCGCGTCCGCGTACACGTAAGCTTGTAATTCGTGCCCGACCGCGAAATATTTTTTCGCGATTTCGTCGAGACACGTCATCAGAATTACACGAGAAGCCGCAAATTTTCGCGTGTCGATACAGACTACACTCGCTAATGAGAGGACCTCGCGTCCGCGTTAATTAGGCGTTCGAACATTACTAACGCCGCGACAATGACGCAGTATATTGCTGGAGAGTGACGCGGTCCGTGCGGCTTGAGTGCCCGAGTCTAACTGGAGGCCATTTTGCCTCGCCGCAGCATGTAGCCGCTTTTCGGCGGGAGACGAATTCCCGGCTTCTGATTGGCTGGGGCCTCCCATCCGGCCATCGCCGTTTCGGTACGTACGTTGCGCCTGTTCGTGATTGTCCCCAAGCTGTGTAGCCTCAGGGACTGTTTAATGGTCTTAAGGCTCGTCTACAATAGCTGGAAGAGTAAGGCTGTAAGGCTGTAACGTAAGCTGTCAGCGAATGAAAATATTTCATTTCGTTTCTTGCAACTGTGACCAGAGCTTGAATGAGTTTAAAAAACGTGGATTCTGGTCCTAGCCAGATATGGTGACCCTTTTTCAATCTTGGTTACCACGGTTGGTGCCCTGTTTAGGATCCACACTAGGTTCCCTTCTCGGTACTTGTTAGCTACCACGCTTGGTAGCCTTATTTGGTTCACCTTTGGTTCACCTATGGATGTCTTATTTAGGTACCTCATCTCCTCCACGTTTGGTTTACCTATCCTATCCACGAATGTTTCCACCTCCGGTTCACCTTTTCTAGTACCTCGGATGTTCTATGTCTGGATCGCCTATCGAAGTGTCTGATTAGGTCTTATTTTAACCACGACTGGTCCGCTCTTTCCTTATGGTGAACATCGCTCAATATTAATAAATTGTGGATTTAGGATGGTCGGAGGTATCTATCATCTCTAGTTCTTGGTCGTTGAACCGAGAATATCCCTAGAATCCAGCACACCACGGTTGGTCAATCACGTTTCGCTCTGTTCCACGGCCCAGTTTTGCCTCCCACGGCATCTATAATGTTTATTAACGCGAAAACACGAATTCCGCGAAAGACTGTCATCGGTACGCAGTCCTGATAATTTTATTCCGGTCGTCACCTCGTTTTCGGTTCTACGAGGAAACCCTATACGAATTGAATTACTAATTACGATTTAACCATAGCAGGTTCGCGCCTCTGGATGGATCAGTTATAACAATAGACGTAACGGATCTAACTACTGGTCGGGTAAATGTGAAATAATTGTTTAGCCGCGTTATAATTAAAATATATATTGTTACAATAAAAGAAGGTTATGTAAATAGAGTGTACTTAATAATAGAACTTATTTTAAACGAAATAATCCAGCAGCACAGCACAGGAACGCATCTCACCACAGTTGGTATGGTGTGGTAGTAGCTTAAAGTTTTATTTAATACTATAATTTCGATCCTAATTATTTAACGACAATGGATCTAACTAAACGCGGTGACGCTCTTTGCACATGCGAATTACAGATCGTCGGAGTCGATTGCTATGCATCAGTTCTCTCAATTATCCCGGTCATCATGATAGGTTCTTAGGTGGTTACTTCGCAATTACGCGTTTTTACTGACTCTATGTTATCGTAACGGATCGAGATCACAGAACATACTAGCGCGATACTAGAGGCATGCGACTTACATGTCTGAGACGTTCACGTAGGGGGATTAACGCCGGGATGCAGCAGCTCTCTCGCTCTGTGTCACCAGCGGCTTTTCCTCCTACTCCCTCGGGTTTTCGCACGGCAGGATAATCCTGGGCACTGTCCGCGAGTGTTCACCCACGCCCGGTTTCGCAATTACCTCTCGTTACGCTATGACGCAATTCCCTTTGTTACGGGACGATATTCCGCAACACGTGTGTGCACCGTTCGCGCGTCCAGCAACGACTCCTGTGCACACTTCACGTGCCTAGCAACGACTGAGCAGGCTTGTGCCTGCTCGAAGCACAACGGCTTCCCCTACTGCTCGTTTTTTTTTTTTTTTTCTACGGCGGTTTTCGCTACAAAGACGACCCTTATCTACAAAGCGGGTCGCCGCACTTCGTGTCTATATACATGCGTCAGGCTCGTACCTAATCGGGGCCCCCGCTGTGCTAAATAAAATTTTTATAAAATTATCGCGCGCTACCGCTATCGCTATTACCAACGATTCGATAGTAAATAAATAAATTATCGCACGCGATATTTCTTATCAAGAGGTTCTTAGTTACCTCGAGTATTTCAATTAAAATACGCAAAACTTGATTTTCAACACGGATGGTGAGCTGGTTGTTTCGTGATTCGATTTAAAGTTAGTTAACAAATTATTAATAATAAAGACTCGTTAATTACGAATATGCACCTCACCATACGTGGTTACTTGTAGAACATAAAATAATGAATATATTAATCCATATGCGTGTTATAATAAACAATCTAATAAATTCGGCCAAGCCAAAATAAAATTTAACCGTTAAGTTGTGACCGGAGCGCGGGTGACCATAAAATTTGGACCTCACCTATATGGTGACTCTTACCTATATGGTACCTATTTGATACCTGTATGGTCCCCCTGTATGGACCCTCGATGGTACCCTACAGGGTATGGTGCCTCTATGGTTTGGTACCTGTATGGCCTTGCTTTATGATCCCTCGATGGTACCCTAAACGGTATGGTACCTGTATGGTCTCCTATTCGGAGCCCCTATGGTGTCCTCCTTGGATCGGTTGATTACCTTGATGGTCCACCTTGATGGGACCTCTAGGAGGCGAGTCTGGTACCGAGATGGTACTCCTACGTGGTTGGTTCCAATGAACAGGATGGTGCACCTGTAAGGGTCCGCGAAAATACCGCGATGGTCTCGAGCTAATATTTATGGACAAATTGAAAAATTTTTGGTTAAAATTGTCTGTCTCGAGTTCCGCGCCTCAGCTTTGCCCCCGACGCACCTTTTATTATCGGTCGCCACCTTATTTTTTGGATTAATAAGGAAACCTTCGGTTTGAATTAATATCAAAGAAATCTATATGAAATGCTGGTTCGCGTCGCTGGACGGATTCTTTACTACAGTCGGAACCTATATGGAATACGATCGTGTACGAACGGAGGATAGGTATGATGGGTACGTATGTATATCTCGAATAAATGTTAAACAAACAATATCACATATATAATTATAAAATACAATAACGCTCTTATACTCTACCCTGAAATAATAGTTATTATTGTTGTTACTAGCTACGTCGGTTCGAATGGGCCACGCCCTTCGCGCTGACCTATGTGGTCGTATGGTCTAAGACGTATTTGCGGAATATAAAATATCAGACTTCCGTTCATCAAGCTTCTTTAACGACGCGCGTCTTAAATAACCGCTTTAGGCCTTTATCAATTCTCGTATCCCGAACGTTGGAGTCACAGAGTCGTGAACATTATTCACTAGCGAGTATTACTGACCGCGAATACCTATATGGTACAATCTCGTAGACGTATAAATCTATGGCGCGATTCACTATACAATTACGCGTAGCACGTCGGAATGGAAATAGACGAACTTACGATCACGCTCGAGGAATTTCTGGTACTTACGGGAGGCTTGCGCCGTCTCGCAATCAACTATCCCCGGAAGGGCTCTCTACTGCGCCGCTCGCTACGGCCGTTTCCTCTCCCCCTCGGGATCCGCCGCTTCCCACGGACTGTTATCCCCACTACGCGCCTCCTTTGTCCGCACGTCCGCTCTATAGTCGGACGCGGCACGCACTGTATACGTCTTTGTCATGCTCGCGTCAGGACCGTAGCTATCATGATGCGTCGCCCGCTTTTATATAAAACACAAAATTCTTTATAGTTCTTAAACTAAAAACAATATAATAAATCGGCTCGTGGCGACGGATACCTTATCGGACAAGGTATATATGCGCAAAAGT